AATAATGAAAATTAGGGTGGTTCTTAACTTTTTTGTTGAGTATATGTTATAAAGTTGCTGAAACACTGCAAACTTAGGATGCAAGTACAACATCAGATAGCCGTTTCCAGTTTGCTTCTGTTTTAGCCACAAGGGTGTATACTTTCTATTGCCGCTCAGTATCTGCGATGAAATGTGAGCACACGTTACCATCCTATGTTGACGCCGTGTTATGTTGTTTCGTATGGCTCGTTTACCTGTACAGTTGCTGTCAGACATGTGTGCCATAGCAGATTAACGGACTCCCCTAACTTTTGAAACACTCAGGTTAATATGAGCAAATATTCAAAGTTTATATACCTTGTGTGATATTAACAGTATTAATATATCAATATTGACCATACTATACATTGAAGTGTATGAGTGAGTGTGGTTGTACGCCGCTGTTAGCATGGGAAACAAGAAATGGGCTTCACGCTTTGTACCTACATTGGTAATCGAACCTAGGTCTTCAGCGTGAAGAGCGAATACTATACATTGTAACAGTTCTGAAAACATTTCATACATATAATTTCGTAAAGAAGTGAAAGAGTGTGGATAATACTGGAAAGAGGATAGCCATATGTTTGCATGAGTGTAGATGTCCGTTAAAGCAAATAGCTCATCATTTTCCTTAAGTCGGTATGTTTGCCCTTGAGAGTTACTTCGAGTGTAGGGAGGGTATTTTATAAAGAATGATCAGATACTAGAGGTTGCATGGAGACACACTCACTAGAAGCACATAAATATGGGGTTGAACATACGCCCTTCCCGCACTGAAGAACGTGGTAATGAGACCAGAAACAGAAAGGGTAACAATGTGAACACATCAGATATACGACAAAGGCACTGACATGAGAGTTATACTTCGAAATAAGGTTACTCGTGTACCTGTTATATCTGAACCATTAACTGATTGTGCATGACTGCTATAAACTGAAACTCTTTGGGTAGGCTTATTCTACATTTGTAACGTTTTGTATGAGAAAGTTTACATGGGACAAACAAACGAACCGGCTAGTGAAGGTCTGTACGCAGAAACAAGCGCCCAATTCGTTGTGAGTTGCTCTCTTCGTTTCTCTCAGTTTACAATGATACGAAAGATTCATTTCGTGGGAATTCTTCATCAAAAACCAACTGATGTGGTTAACGTACATCCAATGCGCTGCGTTTGGTGGTAACCAGTCGTGTTACTTAGCAACTGTTCAAAGCATCGTTGAATGAACCTAAATAAGATAAGACACAAAGTAAGACACTTGGTGTTCCCAAAACCAACTTATTGTTCCCGTGAATTCCACGAGTACATTCTTTGACCCAATTTGTTGTTCAAGACGGAATAAATCTCAACCCCAACCCCCGTCACCATGGTAACTGATATTATGATACAACACGTGACAGGACCAGCTATTTGCTGCATCATCGTGCATTGGGTGCCGGGTACATATTATGATCATCTGTACACATGGTCATTACGTCCATAGAGATAGTGGTTGTATTTATCTTTCCAGAATACCCCGTTACTATCCACTACGACCGTCTACTGAATGGAGGTGTATGTGATGACGTGGTAAGTGCACAGGTACATTACTGTTGAGTCCCAGTCCAATGGATATAAGATATTAGAGATGTAATTGGGAGATATCGGATCACTCAATACGATCACAGTCATGACGTTTACACAACAAACAACGGCCACATACGATACAGTAACAACTGAGAAAATGGACAAAAACAATGTTAAACTACCCGTTTGGGGCATGCACTTAATGCTCAGATGTACAACAGTGTTTGGTCTAAAACACTACTTTCGATTACTAACAGCTAAATGTCACAGCTGACGAAGACATCGTCAGCCTTGAGTTAGTCGACGATAACAACCTTTCTGGCTTGGACGGTCGTAGAAAATGTTTCCTGGGTCAAATAGTTGTAGCTCGACCTTCACCAACGACAGATGCTACAAGAAGAGAAGAACATGTTCACTTCAGGAGCACCTACCGTCATATTCGCAACCTCAAACTACTTCACAAATGTTGGTCTCGTTGAATCTTGTCTTCTATCTCGTAAAATAATATTCCTGGACCAAGGTTATGATATCGAACTTCACTAATGACAGGTGCTGTTGGTAGGGTAGGACGTGTTTTCCTTTTAGCAGGGACACCTGGTGTTATCGCTGCAGGTTCAATTCAATTAATAGTGTTTATGTCTACGAATTTGTCCTCCGCTGTTTTCTTTCAATGTGACAGAGATACCGGTATCAATTCTCTCTAGGCTTTGTATTTAGATACAAACCTCTGGTACAAAGTTTCTTTTACCCATGTCCTGTATTCATTCATCCAGTCTGATTAATGACAAGTCGTGACTAATGATAGGGCGTGGACCAGGCTCTCGGTTCCGGCCCGACACACGTCATAAACCTGTTCATTATCCAGTAACAATTCATTTTGGTCCGAAGCAACTTGGCAGTCGGACAAATAAATACCATGTGGTTGTGCCTGGAACATTTCATTACATTTTGTAGTCATGGCACTAACTAGCACTAATTGGTTTCCAAGTCTGAATAGCCTCGAGTAAGACCTATCCACTGCTTGTGTCAGTAACAGTCTCAACGACCATATAGACGTTTGATTTACTGTTTGGGAATGCGTCAATTGATTGCTGAGGTACTTCTTCACCGTACTTCAGGTTCTTCAGAGTGTTGCCCAGTCCTCTAAGCTACATACGTCTTCCTATTCCGGCGCATTGATGCAGCATCTGCTGTGTAATTACCGACATAAAAGTGCAGAACTACAGTTTCTGTTTGCGAAATCACCCCCCAATGCACTACCCGGTGCATACAGGCTACATCGCCTGTAAGGTAGACTGTGTGTGGTCCCTGATAAACAAATAACTCAACAGTATTCCAGATATAGGACGGCGCCCTGTACATCATCTAGCCCAGTGATTTATACAATGATTCACACAAGTGGGGGTAGCGTCTATCACCAAGTCACCGTGACTGACCTCCCGATGAAATGATTCACACAAGTGGGGGTAGCGTCTATCACTCAAGTCACCGTGACGGACCTCCCGATGAAATGATTCACACAAGTGGGGTAGTCATCCGTGACTGACCTCCCGATGAAATGATTCACACAAGTGGGGGTAGCGTCTATCACTAAGTCACCGTGACTGACCTCCCGATGAAATGATTCACACAAGTGGGGGTAGCGTCTATCACCCAAGTCACCGTGACTGACCTCCCGATGAAATGGGTCGTGTCTGATGACCAGGATGGGATGGCGGGTACAAATTCTATCCACCTGAAGGAACACTGCATTTCCACCAGGATGTTGAATCCGTTCGACTTTTGAACGGAAACTGGCGTTAATATGACGTCTAAAAAACGACCTTGTCTGTTCATTCAGGCTTGTTAAAATGCTGAGATTGACTTTCAGATTTATAAGATTTTGTAGAAAATGCGTTTGGAGGTCATTATAACGTATTAGGAATATTCTCGTTGGAGCATTCCTTTGAGGAATCGGTTTACACGCATTTGTCTTTAGTGGTGACGAAATAGGCTTTACATAAGGGTGGTGTGTTGAATGAGATTCACGGAATGACTGATGTTGTATTGATGACGTTCTGTTGACTGCTGCCGAAGCGTCTTGAAATCTTTAAAATGCTGATGCTTGCGCCTCCAAACATATGGACGCTGGTCCGATGTAAATGCCATTCTTTGTCATGTCTCCTTTGTACATTTTCACGTTTCTCACGGGGATGCTGAAATGATAATATGTATAACATGAATGAGAATTATAAACACGGTAACCTGTAAGTCGACACGTGAAGTTTATCATCAAGTTTATTCGAAGTCTCTAATGCACAGAAGTTAATGTTTTCTAAACCTGGGATGAGTATTATGTTGGCCAACACTATTACTGATAATAACAATTAATGAATACACAATTTAACATATGTTAACAAAAGTACTAGAATCTGTACTTTACTGAGAAAGTGTAATTCCAAATTAATACAAAATGTCATTTAGAAAGCGGTCAAATATAACATCTGCTAAATCTGGGATAAGGTTTTCTCAGTAACGTACACATTCTTGTACAGTTTGGGTTGAGTTCCATCGGGTATTGGAACCCACACTGTGAGGTTGATAATCACCAGCACACAAAGTCATCGAACCCTCTCAAACAACCCACTGAGTTTCCACAAAAATAGAAGTGCGACAGCTGGTAGTCCATATAACGTACTTTGTGTGACATATGTAAACTGGCCCCATGGCCGATAGCTATAAATATATAATGCCATTTACTGTAATCCCAAATATAACATATAAATATGTGAAATATAGAACAACTCATACACGGTTGGACAGGAAAGATGAAGAATGTAGTTTTGCTGGGAAAACAGTCATAAAGATTGGTGAGCTGAGCTCTCAGTTACATATTCATACCTTACAATTTCTACAGTAGAACTACCTCCGTCCGTCAGGTGGACCGCACTTATCACCTCGTCACTGGCTATTAAAAGGGGGTAATATATCAAGACATTTTACATCATTAAAAGGGGTAATAAATCATGTCATTTAGCATCTTGAAAGGGGGTAATACATCAAGTTATACAACATCCAAAGGTATAGACATGTTCTTCTATTTCTAGTCAGAGGTTTTATTTCAAACATGAAAATGCTAAAATTTATATTCTTCCATTAATAGCTTAATACCATAAACTATCGAGAGAGTTGGGTAATAACCGACTGACGCTTTTGAAAACTGTTGTAAAACCGAACCTCTTTCTTTAATGAGAATATCATTATTATCTGTATCCGTTACATACAGTTGTAGATTCATGTATATATACATTCGTTACACATACACTCATACATATTTGTGATATTTGTGTAGATTTCATATTAACACAGTGTTTTCATAATGATAAATTATGAATGTTTTCCTAAGTGCGGCATCCTTTCCAGTTATGGTGCATCTGCCACCATCTCAAAGACATGTTCTGTCCCTCAAAACTCGTTCTGTCATAATTATTCCTCCAGCGCCAGTGACCTCAAGACTGTCCGTATGGCGTAATGCAACATTAACTCACAAACTCACTCGATCCATCAAACCCGTTCTCAATACAACTCATAGAAATTACTTGTTCATGCCTGGAATGGTTGTTCCGACTTCTTCGTGACCAGTACAGCAGTCGCTGGTGTTTACGATGGTGCTGAACCGCGTGTGTCTGTAGGTATGAGCTCCCAGCTTGGTGAGTGGTCTCCTGGACGCCCTACAGCAAGGCATCACGGACGCCAATGCCTGTCTGAATCTGCTGGACCCGACTGTATAGATGATAGGGTTCAAGGCACAACTAAGCTTCGCGAACATGGTTGGAATGCACGAGGCAGCAATAGGTACGTTTATCCTCAGCACAGACAGAAGGGAAAACAGTGCATATGGAGTCCATACCGTGAAGAAGGATATCACCATCACTATACATATCTGTAATGAGAAAAAGCCAATATGTAGAAAATGTCACAGGCTTACACAAAGGAGCTATTAAAACAGATGAGCTTTGAAGCAAACATATTATATGTATATTATAATAAAAACATTAATAACAAAGAAAATGACAATAGTTAGAGAGTTTAGCAATATTCCAGCGACATCAGAGGATTTGTATTATCGGTAACAACAAAGTCACCAATAAGGAGAACACCAGATTGCTTTGATGATTGTGCAGATGTTTTCTAAACAATATGACGGAAGACGTATCGAATACTTATAGTGAATATTGTATTTCAGATACTGGAATATTTGGTGGATCTGTCAAGGCGTATATGTTGACAGGGGTACTGGGTCAGCATTAAATCCATAAGCCATGGCTTTAATCTCTTCATGTTATATGCGTGTCTGACGTATTCTACATGCATTATAAATAATGGTGCGAAGGCCCCGTGGTTGTGGATGCCCATTATGATGGAGGGTCAGCAAGATCATCCCTCTTTTATATCTGGGGGATATTTATTCTGGCATTCTTAATTTTGATTCAAAGATCCTAACTTGAACAAGACGATTGTGTTGTGTGGTTTATATTATGTTTAGGTCACGTGGATAAATCAGAGGAAGGCAACCAGTTTGTTGACCGTTACTGAGCGACGGCAAAGCGGCGATCTACCTAAAGTTCCTGAACAGCAATGGTTCTTGGCATAATTCCCTTAAAGGCGAGAATTTATGGATGTCAACATCTTTATTTGATGAACACGACGTTTCGGTATATTCTAACTCCTTCGTAGGTGAATCAGGGATAAGAATATACTCCGAAACGCGGTGTTCCTCAAATAAAGAAGTTGACATCATCACACCTCGCCTTGATGTGTATCACACCCGAATGCCATTCAAAGACTCCAAATTCCCTTGTTTTTTCAAATCCGAGGGGAAATCATTGATTCATAAAAAAGAAACATGTAAACAAGGAAGGCAGCATAATTGTGTGCACGTTGAATTCAAAGCTTCCAAGTTGGTTGGTTGTTGTTTAACGCCGCACTCAGCAGTATACCAGCTGTATGGCGGCGGTCTGTAAATGATCGAGTCTGGACCAGACAATCCAGTGATCAACAGCATGAGCCTCGATCTTCTTACTGAAGATAAATTCTCACCCGGACGTCGAGGATATCACATATGGTCATCTGAGTGAATTTCAGATTTACCCTTCCTTTCATTATTGGCATATTGTCCTAAACGTTTGAAGAGAGAGATGTAACGTTATCTGTGGCGTGGCCACATCGTGTAGTGACATATGGATAAAGGAGGCCCAGCAAAATACCTCTCTTTTTACGAATTTATAGGAAACTTTAGAATTCAGAACAAAGGGAATGGATAAGCTTCAGAAACAAGTCGCAAGTTGACGCTAATGATGCATGACAAAGATTTAGTATTATCACCATGGTAACTTGTATGCCACCAAACCTCGTGAGACAGATGAAATGGAACATGGAATACAATAAATAATACAAGTCCGGATGTCAGAAATAGAATAGTGACAGAAAGAGGATGTTATGTATATATATAATCTCTGCTGAGTATTAATTCTAGGTGCTGTAGTCAAGTAACTTGCTGATAATTTACTTCTACTTATAAGTACCTTTCTCCGCAGCACTGCAATAGACAAAATTGAGCAGTCTGAAACGTTTATCACATTTTGTCTACAACCACAGAATACTGATGAACAACTGCTGACCCTTTACAAACCACACAATTACACGTTGAAAGAAAGGATTTTAGCGTGTGGAGAGAGATTCTGGAAGATGACCCACTTGTTAACCTGCCACCAGCACCACACAGGAAAACACTGACGGTGTCCAGTGTCTGAACAGACATTGAACAATAGGCGAATTACAGCCCATGAATTAGGTGACACCAGGGGTGTCTGGCGTCAGTCAATGGGAACAATCCTTCCAGAACGTCTACATACGTCAGTTCGTAGAAAGCTGTTAGGTGAAATAAAGGCGCTGCAGCCATCCACATCTAATGTTGACCAAATATAATCGTAACCAAGAACATTGTAGTCACTGGTGATGGGACCTTGACCCATGATCCCGAAGAAAATAATATTCCATGAAGAGGAAACCCATCGCGTCTCCGATGCTTACAAAAATCAACCAGGTCCATTGAGAATGTTATGGTACCTTTGTTTCTGTCAGCAATGCTTACCATATGTTAATTATTTCCCACATCGAAAAGAGTTCATAAAAGTGATGAATTGTGGCAAACGCTTGCTTGGTGTTCTCCATCAAGACAATATTTCTGTTCACGTGATGCAATAGCCGCTGTACGGGAATCTGGATGGGAGCGTCTATTCCCGTCAACGTATTGACAAGATCTTGCCCCAAGGTACAACCATATATAAATAAACTGAGAAAAAACACTGGAGTGCAAACAGTTTTAACCGGGACCAAAGACATTTTTTTCACAAAAATGGATAACTGACCAGGAGTGAAGATGGAATAGCTATTTTGAACTTCAAGGAAACGTTATCTCACTGTTCGATGCGGGATTTTCATTTCAGCCAGACTGAATCAAGTTGAATCTGGATCGACTTTGAATATACAGCTAACTTTTACTTTCAAGTAAGACTTGCTATGAGGTAAAGCAGATCTTACCTGCTTATGTCAAGTCTGCTTTGAAGTTTTGCCACCAAGATGTTACTTTGAATCATCAATGAAAAACGCCTATTTGTGGTTTTGAACTATATCAAATAATTGTCATGTAAAATTGAAAACTGAACAACATGAATTCTTGTAACCCAGTGTAATCCGGTGAGGTTCAGGCCCAGGTGATAAAGACAAGACTAAACTGACGTGTTTAGTTGATATATATTACATTCATAGAACATCATACGATATTTGAAATACAAAGATAAACACTGGAGGATGGAATAATGAATGATAGTAAAGTACATTTTGTGATTCTCACACACAGATAACGATATCATATCACAAATGAACACTGACTGCTAACTTTAGTGAAGTGTTGCAGTTATACATATTATTCTCTTAAACACATTTGCTGATAAATTAAGGTTGGGGCGAAGTAGATTATGGAAAGGATTCCAACCCTCCCTACTGACTGTTACGCACAATATAAAAACCAGCCTTAAAATTAATATAAAGGACGTGTAAAGGAACATCATGGAGGACTTTGTAAAATGCATACTTGTATTCCTTTGATGGAACTGGAGTAGCGGTAATCGATACTAGCGAACCACTACATGTGCTGCTGTAGACAGCATGGTGTTGACCCTGACACTGATGTGGTCATGTCTCAAGTACAACACTGCCAATCAGAGGGCCGTGGACACTGGCTCAGTAGGTCAGGGTCAGGTATGGAACAATTGGGGCACCTTAATTGAAGGAGGCCACGGGTTATGCAACTTTTTATCGCAATTCACTAGCCTACAATTCCTGCAATACTGCTTGTTTAAATGGTCTTCCATTAACACTCACGTTTTCACCTTCGCTGACAGAAAGGTATCATCGCGGTTTACATTATGTAGATGTGATGATTTCTTCCTCTAGAAATAGGAAAGGGTGGGATAAGTGTGTGTGTGTGCGTGCGTGCGTGCGTGCGTGCGCGTGCGTGCGTGCGTGTGTGTGTGTGTGTGTGTCCATGCATTCACTGACATTTACCTATGGTGAAACCAATACACGACACTCTCGTGGAAGTAAAATGGGTCGGCTTCGGCATGGGTCGGCTTCGTCCGTTACTCAGTAATTATCATACGCTATTGATATTGCTCATGTTATATTTGGGTTTACACTTTCTGAGTAAAGTACAGATTCTAGTACTTTTGTTGGGATGACTCCCATCCGGGATTCGATCAAGTGCCTGACTCTGAGAGTGTGGATTCGAATCCCAGATTGGACTTCACCCAACAAAAGTACTAGAATCTCTACTTTACTGAGAAAGACATATCCCAAATATACTATGTGTTACATTTGCCCACTTTCCAAATGACAGTAATAATAATAATAATGGTCCATTAATATTGCGCGTTTATCCATGCACATTGCATGCTCAAAGCGCTGACATATTACCCCTGGTCAACGAGTACAGAACACTCCATGTGGAGAATACAACCGGTCGCCTGTCAGGCGCTCAAGGTTCAAATTCAGACTACCTGGTGGACAGGCAAATTTGAACAAACTCACTTGCCTACGGTGAGACCACATGCGTCACATGTGCTTCGTTGTGGGGCAGGACTGAAGTCCTAGATACTTTCAGGAGTCAAGCTGCCAAACACGGTCACCCATCCGAGGACTGTCCGTGACCAACGTTGCTTAACTTCAACTGATTGTGACCTGAGCTCTACGCACAGGACCACACACCGCCACAGTCTGAGTGTGTATTGATGTTGCTAATAGTTAATAAAATGTTGTTTCCTTAAGGTAAAAGCAGTTGCCGAAACAGACAAAACATATTTGTCAATAAGTGTAAATTCCATATTTACTCAAAACCATTGATCACATCCGAAAAGAAACAATTGAACGTCTAACGTCCAATATTCTCTTCTCCCAAATTACCTTTCACACGAATCTGTCATTAAGCACAATTGTGACATTTACATTTACAAAACGTATGTATAAACTGCGCATGAAATTATCATTAGTGCCACTTTGAATATGATTTTCAAAAATAAGATTTTGAAGCATACACGTGAGAAAACAGTCAAATGTTGGATGACTCTCCATAGGTCTGCAACAAAGTCTCTTTGTTCTGTTGACTACTTTTAAATGAGATTTCTTGTGATCGTCAAAATGCTTTCTATCAATAATTCTTCTCACCTCCTTACTCACTGGCACTTATTTTTCATGACAATTGAGTTATTACCGTGCGCTACTGTTATAGCAAAACACGCTAACGCTGATTCAGTGATCATCCAATTTTCATTACTATGTTGTTTTTTAAGTATTTTAGGAGACTGGTTATTCTCTGGCGCTGACGTGTTCAATTTACACTTGAACTATACTGAAGAGGAAGAGTTTCTTCATCTCGATTCATTCCAATGAATGTGAAGTAGTGGCGTCATGTAAAATACACTCTGACTGTTCTCAGTCTCTCTGGCTCCACATCGCTCATTGCTGCCTATATTAGAAGTCTATGGATTTGGATTTGTTTGGCAAGAACAGATGGTTCGAAGTGAAACGCTATTTTTAAATGAATTTCTTGGTAGACTCAAAGTTTCGTATCAACAGGACTGGCATTCTGCACTAATAAAAGGCACAAAAACATTTGGATACACGTTGTTTAAACCTATGTTCGGTGTTGAATCTTATATCTTCATAGTTAGCTATTTTAAACATAGACGTGCGCTTGCTCAGTTTAGATCGGGGTCTCATAAACTACGAATAGAAACTGGCAGGTATATTGGTGAGGCTAGAAATGACAGATTATGTAATATCTGTAAATTGCCATATATAGAAGATGAATATCACTTCTTACTTATTTGTAATAAATATCAAGTATTGCGGCGACTGTATATACCTTTACACTTTTATGAATATCCAACAATCCAAAAATTTAATACGCTTCTGCAATCATCAAATGCAAGCATCTTAAAACATTTATCGGCATATATATATCAAGCTTTGTTACTGAGACAGTCCTCATTATAACATATTTTCTCACTCTGTAATTCTCAAAGTGTAACCTGGGCCTATGGCCTATATTACTTTTCTGAAATAAACCACCATATAGAACACACACTGTTATTACCAATTTGTGTTCGTTATTGAATAAATGAGTCGTCTTTTGCCCTACACATACGGGGACAGTTACATGCAACTATAGCTATGATTATTCTGTGTATGGTGATCTGGATCCCTGTTCTATTGGACCACCGAGCGCCAACTGTTATTCAGCTGTCACATTACAAGGGAAATCACACCACCATGCCATCCGCTGATGGCAGGGACCAATCGGAAGTTTTCCATTGACCACATTTAAATCATTTCAAATGTTGGAGATGATGACTTACAATAACCATGCAGTACACTCACGGGAATACAAACTGGTTGTTATTATGAAGCAGAATTATGCATTTGCATTTTTACTTCGAATGGTGGTATTCTACATCGAACACTCCAGATTTAGCCACGTAAAAATGTTGTGTGTTTCTTTCGGCTACATCAGAGAAGAAGTACAAAATACGGGACAATAGCATACAAAAACAACAACATACACTATATTTAAATACCATGTTCATCTGTATGAAAATGGAAACTGCATATGAAGATGCTGGTAGGAAATATATAGCAACAAAACCCTTCCTTGTCTATCTGAAATCTCTGCCATATGGAGATTGTAAGATCCCGACTAAGTCAAAAGCGTGTGTTAATTAAGCTTCAAGAAGGTGAATACTGACATACGGCCAAACCCATAAATATGTCAGAAGATTTCCCTTTACACATGAATGATGACATAGTGTTTTATATATACCTAACCAGTAACTGTTGTAAGGAAGGGTTATGAGATATCATATTACATTACAGTTTGCAGATTGCAAAAGTCTTCGACTTACAACAGTTATCCAGCAACATCGTTAATTACGCCGACCGTTTTTATTGATGACAACTTAGTGCTACATCTTCTGTTCGGATATGTATGTTTGAGGACAAAACGATGATGCGATGTTTTTTTTGTTTTTTTACGTCTGTTCTTGAGACCCGGAAGTCAGTAACTATTCACAGACATATGACTGAATTGAATCATACTGTAATTTGTCCTACTATATTATTGAATATTGTACAAGCCCCAGCTTCCAAGGAATAATCGAGTATACGCTTTCGTCGAACATCGCAAATAACGTCATACGACTCTTGTCGTTCAATAAATCCATGACAGTAGTTGACATTAAGAACTGAAAAATGTCGCTATATAGATATTAGGAACATTAACTGATATTTGATTAGTGACGTAAAACTAACAAAGAAACGTGTCCTCAGTGCCCATTACTGAAAGAAAGATTTTCATTTTGGAATGATGAATACCTAAACTTAATTTCTCATCCTGTCTCGGTTAAAGTTGTGTTAAATTATCTAAGGGTGAGATCGATAAGTGAACAGTGACATATGTGAGTATAATGGGTTTAAAGATACAACGAAACAACGACCACAGACTTCTGGTTCGACTCAGAGGCGCTCCTTTCTATAGCGTTATGCTAATCAGCTAAATAATAATAATGTGTCCATTTATATAGCGCCAAACTCCACACTAGGTATGCTCATAGCTCTAACAATCAAGGCCATTATTACCCCGGATAACCCAAGCTGCCAGTTAGGCGCTAGAAGGTTATAGTCATATGACTTTTTTCCACCGGGTACCCATTTTCCTTCTGGGTGAACAGAGACAATTTTGAACAAACTCACTTGCCTAAGGTGAGACCACATGTGTCACATGTGCTTCGTTGTGGGGCAGGACTCAAGTCCTAGAAACTCTCAGGAGTCAAGCTGCCAAACACGGTCACCCATCCAAGGACTCTCCGAGCTCGACGCTGCTTAACTTCACCGATTTGTTACCTGAGCTTTAAGCACAGGACCACGAGTCCACCAATGCACATGTCATGACGAACAGAACGGAAAAGTAAGAGAAATATGTAAATCGCGGTTCTCTGGTATACACATGATGTACCAGAACATAATTATTGTCAAGTGTCAAATGGGTTCAATTAGTAATAAAGAGGTGAGTACATTAGTTGTCCTGGAATCAGATTATCGTAGTTCCAAAAGTGCATTGATAAAATTACCAGCACTGTGTTAGCGCCACACATGTTGCTTTGGGATTTGATAAAGCCGCTACACCTCTTGGAGCTTTCCTGTCGCTGACACACGGGAATATAACTGAATAATGTTCACCCGCTTACTCTTCATTTAGTCCATAATGCTTTTATAAGTATTCCCTCTCGTTGTATAAACGTTGATTTGACAACGGTGGCCGGGACGTGTCAGACGACGTTTCTGTTTCAAATTCCCCCTTGATGAAATACAACTATCGCCAACAAAACAGATACGCTATGCTTCATCTTATCACTATGCACCAAAGTATGTTCCATACAATAGTAATCAAATATCATTCAAATAGTTTCCTTATACTACGATATGTAGCACGTCAAAGCCAGAGAAAAACGGCAAGAGACAAATGCTGAATAGATCACCATAAATGAAGTCCAGAAAATACGTGTCACTTTAAAACAAAATCATCAGTCTACACCCGAAGGTTAATTCGTTCATTCTTAACGACGAAACACATCGTGTACCTCTGTATACATACTGCAACCAATTACAAGTTTTCAATTATAGACCAATTTAACGTGCAAGCAATTGCAAATAATTACATTGCCACGCACACACGTTTACTTACTGTCTTGAGAATGGATTGGTACGTAACGGCTTTGTAAGGATTTGAACTTGGTGTAAAGGTTATTTCAGTTTCCATCAGTTGGAACGTTCGAGCGATTATCGAATGAACAGTAATAGATCATACCAGGTGTTACTTCCAATCAGACAAGTACAAACCTAACTGAATATTTTGCAAATATGAAAATATATTTATAAAGATATCCTATATTCATCATAGTCACACGAAATATCGATTGACACCCTGGGCTAGTCCCTGAACAAACCCGCGGCACAGACGCACGCACGCCCACACGAATGCTCCTTAACGGGGCAGAAGAAATATATACCTACTAATTGTACTCTAAAAACATGGGATATGTCTTTGGTTATTGATGACTCAAGTGTTTATGATGATGGAATCATACTGTAGACACCTTTCCATAGGACATTTATCAATGATTTTCAGTTATCCATTTATAATGTTCACAGCTATTATGTAGTGGTCGGACAGGATATACATGTTAGTGAGTTACAGCAGAGGTACAATTACCGTGTGAATTCGGAGGTTACAAGGAACAAAAACATTCCTGATCAAATCTAGAGTTTCTACGATCGCCAACACGTTATTGCTCTGCTGAAACACCAGAAGCTAGAAGACTTACAGCCTCGCATCATCATATTTACACGTAACCTAGTGACGATTCTCAGTTACAATTGGTCTTCACCAAACTTGCTTGTCGTAAGGGGCTCCATGGTTGATGCATGTCATCGCGGCACATTTGCTCATTATGTTAATCATCAGATTGTTTGGTCCATCGTCACATGACAGGAATATTGTTTTTTTAACAACAACCAAAAATAGAGTACACGTAAAAAAAAAGCTGATGTCTATAAGATTGCTTTTTGACCTACAACCATGGAAAACATAGACCTACTTACCGTAGTGACATTTCGTTCAACTTGCATCTTCTGGAACACCAATAGTTTTTCCATCTCAAGAAACCTTTCATTTGAAGTCAGTCCGAAACGCAGCGACCTTGCTTTAAACGTTATCTTTACGTAACAGAAGGTGATGATGACAATGTGAAGGACGTAACACGTTATTAGCGAGGACATGGAATATGAGGAATCTGAAAGCGTGTTCCCCTGCCAGTTTAAGTTACAGGATGTTCCGTAGGGTTCCAGTGTATAGCTGCTCCAACCAACCAGGGGTAAAGAAGTCCAGATGAAGGCATGGCCCCATATTCCACCAATGACGAATTTCATATATTGGACGTTGGTAAGGTAGTCTGAAATGCAAGTAGTGTCAGAGAGCAAATTTTAGTATTTTAATTTCAAAAGTGCATAGACTCAGGGGATTAAAAAAGGGAACACGAAAGTTTTTTGCATAAGAATATTTAGTTTAATTGGTTACATACACACATGGTGGCCTGTGTGTCACTTCAGTGTCACTGTACTGCCAAACAATTTCACCATAATCTTATTCTAATTTTATATGAAATACCTATTCGTAATTCTCAATGTCCACTTTTTGCATTTACCTCCCATAGTGACAGTTATTAATATCTCATATGAAAATGTGCCAAAACTTAAAGAAACCTTCAATTTTTCTTCATTTCTGATTCTTTTTATGAAAGTGGTTTCGGGTTAGAGAACCGCGCATGTGCAATGGAATGTTTTCTAATGGTTATTACTAATGGTTATTGTGACAAAGAGGAAATGAAGTGGCAGTTAAACTTCACGGTTGAAAGTATGCCATTTTAAACAATCTGTGGTGAAGTGATATCTATACCTTTCGTCGATAAAGAGAACATAAAACCAACTAACTAGATCATGATAATGGCACAAATGTCAGGGAACATAGATTAAGATGCTTTCTAAGATGCTTCTGTGAAAAGATCAAAGGCGCCGACAGTACTTTATTTAAGAAATACAGTTCGCTCTACCACCATGTATAGTGTAATAAAACACACTTTCGCCCTGAACTATTATAGTTAAAGTACGAGGACGCTTGCGTCCGAGTACTTTAACGTTATAATAGTTCACGGCGAAAGTGTGCTTTATTACACTATACATGGTGGAAGAGCGAAATGTATTTCTTTTCTAAGATGCCAAATTTAATTCTTTCTAAGGACAATTACAATTAATTTAAGGCAGAAAACAAACGACGGTGACCTAAATTAAGAATCCTCGCACAGCGCTAACTGGCGCGCTGTTCTATTGATGCGTCTGCCCCCCTGCGTTAAGACGAACGTTACCAGAAAAAAAACAAATGATAACAGTTTGATGACGGTTTACGTTCGGATTAAATATCTTCTCTGAATTATTTTAATTACATCTGTCATTAACGTAAACCATAAGGGGCAATATGAACGTCGCATTTCTACTACCAACGTAAGTTTAAATCAGTACATCCAGATCAAGCGACATTCCACGATTGCATTGTGGGAACGTAAACATTGCGAACGTTACCGCGTCGCTGAAAACATGTGAATCGAATTGACTCATTTTAACCGTCGTAAAACATAAACGTAATGTTTCCACCAGTGATGTTAGCTGCGTGAAGCAACTGCAAACCAAGAAACGGGATGCAACGGAGTAGTTTACTTTAGAGGCCGTACGAGGTGATGACAACTGACATGCATCGTGACGTCGCTTACATTGTGACGTAATGTAAAATGGTTCGATTACGCGAAATATATTAATCTATACTTGTGGAGTTAAATGAAGGTTTTGCCTTGTCTATTTTCAGTATCTATTATGTAAAGAATTCTAGTACTGAGGTTGCATAGTGCCATTTATCATCCAAAACTGTGTTCCACAGTAGAAATCGCCTTTGTGAGATCAGACGATATCTCCTAGGAGATATCGTTTTGACAGTAGATTTTGTACAATGTCCTGACAATGCTATGACGTCATGAACTTGTTGACGTCACAATGTTATGACATCACTGCACTGCAATTTTAATGGCAGAACTGTGTTCAGAGATGTACATTTTTCATTGAAAACTAATGAAGAGTGATTTTTGATGATATATAGAATCTCACCCTCGTGTCTTCTGATGTCAAATATATCAACACTTGTTGATAAAAGTAAAAATATCCTCGGCAAGCCTCGGATTTTGTTACTTTATCAACTCTTGGTGATATATTTGATATCAAAAGACACTCGGGTGATATTAGCGAGGATACATTAACTACTCACTGTACTGTGGCTTGCAGACAAAGGTGTATCTGAAGATGGCGATGACGAGCATGGTGTTAATGCTGACCATGCTGAGCAAGAAGATGATGTAAGCAGAGAAGATGCAGCCAAATTCGCCAAATAACCATCTGAAACAAGAGTGGATACATGATACACGATGAAATAAGGCGACTTAGCCCCAAATTTTTTACACAAACCAGTTCTAGTCACGTTGCTAAAAAGTCAATACTAGTCACATTGGTACAAAGTAATTATTTAGTACGTTGCTAACAAACGTGTTTATTCTATTAACAGGTACAATTAAGTTTTCGAATCTGTGATATTGCTGACACTGGTGGAGACTAGTGTGTATGGTTTACAGGTGTACATGGCTGTTTCTACCTGTAATTATCCGGGTAGGAAGTGGTCTTCAGGAACGTCTGAACTTGGCAGATCAATATTCATGATACCTACAGTTAAATTGTCTCATTCATACTTAACTATTTACACATCGCCATCATATAGCGTGGCTATTGCCGAGAGCGCCGAGAGTATGTAGTGTGGCAATCTGAAAGGTTTCATTAATGGGATTAAATGTCACCCAGCTATGAAAGTGTTTCTAGTTTTCACAAAATACAAGTGTGAAGACGACTGTATCCGCTGTATAGTGAAGGTATGTAAAGCATCAGTACGAGGCAGCAGTTTGTCGAGGTGCTGACAAGACTAGTTTATGAATACCAACGACACATGAATACCCTACTCAGACACATTATACTGACTCCGAGCCGACCAGTCCTTGTTGTACCCATTAATGCCGAGCGCCAGGCAGGGACCAACAAGTACCATATTTTAACGTCTTTTGGTATGACGCGGTCGGGGATCGAACCCGCGACCTTCCGCTCTCCGGGCGGACGCTCTAACCACTACACCACGGAGGCGGTCTTAAAGAACGAACTTTCACGACATCCAGAATGTAAACAAGTGCACCCTGTACTGATCTCTACCGTACATTGCTGTGTTCAGGTCGGGAGTGGTTGGTGTTTGTTTCTTTATTCTGATGGTAACCCTTTCCTTAAAACTGCGTTTATTGGTTTCATTGAAGCATGGAACAGGAACCCGGATCAGAGTTTTCTGGTTTGCGGGTTCACGGACTAATGTTTAAGATGAAAGCAGATATCGAGCAATCAAACTATTTTGATGACGCCTGGCCAATCTGACCAATGACGGCACTCCTGACCCTCAATTAGCCCATCAGTGCTGTTTCCGGGATAAGGCCGGACTGGGAAGTCATCCATCAAAGGTCAAACACAATACCCTAGCAGACTCTAGTTTTCTCATCACTCAGTAGTACATTTCCCGAGAACTAAGGCGACCACACTGATGACTCTCTTCCAAAACGGCATGGACAGGATGAAAACTCTTCTGATGGATGAAGGATGCCGTCTTGACTGTACAGCGTGATACTGGCGAGTGACCGAACGTACTTCCGAGATTCAGGCTGAGGCTGTGGGACTGTCTTCTTACAATTACGGGGCATTCCCACAACTATGAAACTCAGTTACCATTAGTTGAAGAAATTCTTAAAGGGATGATGAGCGTTGGGATTATTGGCACAATAGTACCTTTCTCTTGATGCGTATCTCTTGAAATGTCAACAATGACCATATCGGGATAAGCATCACTATTTGAGCTGACTTGTTTACAACTGGTTAGGGTTTGGTTTGTTAAAAAGCGAAAAAAAATTACATGGTTTACTTTTGGTAATATTTTACAATTCAATATTCATGTAAAGATTTTATCCCACCAGTTGCAATATCTTTTTTCAAAACAAGTCTTAAATGGGCAGTTAAAGGCTGGTACAACATGAGGACATATAACTGGTATAAGATGAAGAGCATGAATCATCCCTGAAATTCGGTTGCCAATAATGTTCAGTATTCCAGTAGGATTACAAGATACGAAAATTGGGATCATGTCTACTTCCAGCGTAAAGGATCGAACCGCGGCTATCGATGGCACGAACTGTCTGCTTACCCACTAAGCTACCCCAACAACGAGGTTGGTTATGCCATGACTTCAAACTGGACTGATTTACCCTTCATGTCCTTCAGATCCACTGAGTGAATTAGATATCAGGCTGTTTTCGCAATATTCCAAGAATACCGGTTATACATGACTAAGTTAGTAGGTAATTTCTTTGTCCAGATTCAAATTTCCTGTATCAATTCCAGAGTTCTAAATATGGATCCAATATAGATCCAAGACATTTGCTAAACACTGTGCACATTTGCAGATGTACCGACCTTTCAGCGAATCCAGACGCCGCCGTCAGGGGATATGCGATGACCGCTACACAGAGGTCCGCCAGGGCAAGGTTTAAGATGAGGTGGTTGAAACTCTTGCATAGCATGCGCTTCATCAGGACAACCAGGATCACACACGTGTTTCCAACCATTGCCAACACACCTGGTCAATACAGATGAGACATCAAATTAATGGAATCTTCTGAAGCCACATGTTGATCTAACAAGCTCATAGAAGGGTGGATGGGTAGATGTACAGATAGATAGAACTGATTGATGGACATGATAGACGGTTTCAAATAACAATATACATAACCAGTCTTTCTGAACACAGATACAGATAACGGCAACACAAACAATACTTTTTGTCAGTTATTTTTGCAAATAAACACATTTATTTCCCAAACCCCTCCCATATAAAAGCGAGGCAACATCTTCCATCATTATTATAATTCTCTTCAAAAGCAGTCAGTTGCTCCAAACATCATAAACAGAGGACTGCTGTATTACTAGAATTTGTTTACTTTACATGCATGAATCAATACTAGATGGTTATGACACCAGGTGTTCGTTAAGAAACTCGCAAAAGAATCTATGCCATGGCACCATTTCATTAATCCAACTCACCTAAAACTGTCAAATATACTCCAGTGGCCAAGTAACCTTCCGAGGAAAGCCTCTCTGTGATGAACAGCTGAGAACCGTTAAAGCGTCCCTCGCCGTTCATCGTGAAGATTCATATGACACTCTACCGTCCGTCCTTCTGCAATTATACGCGTACACATCAATGTTTTGTATGTAGGCCGTCAATAGCGTGGGTTGTGACCCAGTCTTGCATAAGCAGATTTCAAGGTTAAGGTTAGAACAGCCTCCTGATGTTTATACCGTATTTACTCTAAATATCTGCATCATAAAATGATGAGGAATGTTTAAATAATGATGGGTTTATATAAGAGAGAGTGGGCAGAAATTGGATTTACCGCTGTAACATTGTTTAGTCAATTGGAAATGCATTGAAGGGATTGTCCGTAGTTACACCATTCATCAGTGTGCATGTTTATGGGGAATGTGCCTGATGGCGGGTTGACGATTTACGGAAACCAAAAGTGGATTAAGGTATTCACGGCCATTTCTCCCGAAGGAAGACCTCTGTTGTCACAACTTACTATCGTAAGCTTGGACGAACGCGAGAAAACGTTTCTTTGCATCTTGATATGTAAGGTTTAAGCTACAAATTCACTCCGATACCCTTTATAGGCAATTTCAAAGATCGCTTGCAGCCATAATTACATTAGTGGGTATACTTGTGTTTCGAGTCACCACGCTTGGACTATTTTTTCAAAGCGTTTTTATGGAATGAAATTCTTCTAAATATGTTACAATATACATAAAACAAAAATACATTGACATAGATGAAAGTTAACGCGCAAAAACATTGCGTCAACAAGCGTTTTCAAGCAAAGGCCTGTTTTCTGAATGAGCACAGATTGGCACATTTACGCCCGGGTCTTATTTGTGCTTACAGAAATGAGTGAGGTTGACCGACGGCATTGTGATTTTACCATCAGATCCAGAATGAATACCATTGTGTGTATCGATAAGCAGGCTTGTCAGTATGTATCAAATGCCCTTTTAATCAACTGAGGTGATTTTTAATAATTGAGTTTAATTAATCAGTATTAGCCAATATTGAACGCTATCAGCATGCCTAGCCTAGGGGGAATGTTTCTGTTTGCTGTAGAGGAATAAAAACTTCAGTCAGATCGCATGAGCGCGTTTAGTCTGGGATGTTGATGCAACATTACATAGATCAGAGTTAGTTATGGACACAATGTATGGACACAGTTCAGACTGTGCTTTCAATACCAATATACTTAGTGTATGGATATTTCGTTAAACTATTTTGAACTTTTTAATTACTTTCAGGTAAAATTGTCACATTTTTAAAGTCGGTGTGTAATATATGGGTAATTTTGGCAAATTCGAATTCGGATTGACTGTACATATAACATATATAACCTACCGGTCAAAAGAAAGTATACCCGAGGAAACTGGATGTGACCAAAACGTTACAAACGTTATCAAAACTGTCGCCGAAAAACTGTGGTGTTGATGTAGGATTGGTGGTTGCGTTTTGAACGTTAAGAAAAACAGATGACTGACATATCAAACAGATGACCATTTCTTGTATGCTCAGTTGGTAAGTTCCGTCCAACATGGATTTCAACTCCCTTTCCCCGGCAGTGTACTTTGAGTCGATATATGTGATACCGCTCTACACTTACATATTTACATGTGCTGATGCGATCTCTGAGTCATGTGAATCTTTCGATTCTCATCTGTCACTATGATGTTATCATTCATTTGGGCTGTAACGATGCATCGAACTATCGATAAATTGCATTTGTTAAGTCTCCGATAGGAATTAATCGATGGTAGAAACGAAAGACTATCGATGCATCGATAATATGTGTGACTATCGATAGTTTAGTAATTGACTTCCGTTGATAAATGCGCAGCACAAAATACAGGATGTTTGGGTGCAGACTTGCTGCTTCATTGAATTCATGTTTTAACTGTTTACTTGATCTGGATTTCAAGTTTCTTGCCAGCTAATAAAAGAGACTGAAACTACTTCAACTTATTTTTATTTCATATAAACTATACAGTTATTTTGGAAATGACTTCAAATGAGAAGGTCGTTGGTCGCAATAGACTATCACTATCTGAATAGTATGTTGCAATAGACTATCACTATCTGAATAGTATGTTGCAATAGACTATCACTATCTGAATAGTATGTCGCAATAGACTATCACTATCTGAATAGTATGTTGCAATAGACTATCACTATCTGAATAGTATGTTGCAATAGACTATCACTATCTGAATAGTATGTCGCAATAGACTATCACTATCTGAATAGTATGTCGCAATAGACTATCACTATCTGAATAGTATGTTGCAATAGACTATCACTATCTGAATAGTATGTCGCAATAGACTATCACTATCTGAATAGTATGTTGCAATAGACTATCACTATCTGAATAGTATGTTGCAATAGACTATCACTATCTGAATAGTATGTTGCAATAGACTATCACTATCTGAATAGTATGTCGCAATAGACTATCACTATCTGAATAGTATGTTGCAATAGACTATCACTATCTGAATAGTATGTCGCAATAGACTATCACTATCTGAATAGTATGTTGCAATAGACTATCACTATCTGAATAGTATGTTGCAATAGACTATCACTATCTGAATAGTATGTTGCAATAGATTATCGCTACCGCAATAGTTGTTTCCCCCTCAATAGTCACCCCTAGTTATCAACAGTTTCCTTGCCTTTCCTTGTCACATGAAGCATTAGCCTAACGAAGTAGCCAATGCATTTAATAAGCACCATTGTGCAGTCAGTCACACTTGGTACAAGGGAGCCCTATATTGTTGATAAGTCATTAATCCTATCCATTTTGACGATGATTAGCAGATGATTAGATTTGGCAGCAGTAATTTCGTTTATCTGGAGCAAGCTATTTCGGCAATAAACGTATTCACTCTGACAAGACAGTACCCAATCAATATATTAAGTACTGAAAACCACCGGTTATAACGAACTTCAAGGAACCACTAATAGTTTGTTATAACCCTAATTGGTTACATTGTATATGCATTTCGAATAAAATATTTAGCATGTGGCCGGAACATACAAAAACTACATAACAGTTCGGTAATTCATTAGTTCGTTATAAACGTCGTTTACTGTACAATCAGTACAATTTGTGACGATAGAGAACACAAAACCTTTTCCACAGCTGTAAGAAATCTCTACTAAAACAGAGTCGATTGTACAATTCTGACAATATAACGGTTATGTTGCTGCTTAACGCCACACTCAACAATATTCCAGCTATTTGGCGTCTGTAAATAATCGAGTCTGAACCAGGCAATCTAGTGATCAACGGCATGAACATCGATCTACGCAATGTGGATACGATACGATGACATGTGGCAACTAAGTCAGCGAGCCTCACTGATCCTGTTAGTCGCCTCTTACGACAACCATGGGTTACTGAATATCAATTTTAACCAGGGTCTCCACGGGTACTGAGATGGGGGATGGAGTGGGAGATAGCTCGTTGTACCTAGAAACAAAAAACACCGCCGGTTTTAACTTAAAAGCTTTTTATGTGTGTCACTTCTCCCAGAACTGATTAATTATCAACGTGGTTGTCCGCCATGTTGGTGGTATTGCCAACCCATCACTGAGGTTAGATTGTAACTCGCATTCTGATTGGTACGTTAGAGCTAGCAGCCAAACGAGTTGGCAAATGGAAATCGAGAGCAGGTAATCTGAAAATACGAGACTGACGGTCAAGCTCCAGATATTAGTGTAGGTTTACTCCCAAAGGTTAGCCCTGGAGATATAGAGGATGGTAACACCCATGTGTTTCTTATTTCCCCCGCACAGACGGATATTAACCAACCTGACACTTGTGATATAGAGAGAAACAAACCCTGATACTTGTGATATAGAGAGAAACAAACCCTGACACTTGTGATATAGAGAGAAACAAACCCTGATACTTGTGATATAGAGAGAAACAAACCCTGACACTTGTGATATAGAGAGAAACAAACCCTGACACTTGTGATATAGAGAGAAACAAACCCTGACACTTGTGATATAGAGAGAAACAAACCCTGATACTTGTGATATAGAGAGAAACAAACCCTGACACTTGTGATATAGAGAGAGAAACAAACCTGATACTTGTGATATAGAGAGAAACAAACCCTGACACTTGTGATATAGAGAGAAACTGATACTTGTGATATAGAGAGAAACAAACCCTGATACTTGTGATATAGAGAGAAACAAACCCTGATACTTGACAAACCCTGACACTTGTGATATAGAGAGAAACAAACCCTGACACTTGTGATATAGAGAGAAACAAACCCTGACACTTGTGATATAGAGAGAAACAAACCCTGACACTTGTGATATAGAGAGAAACAAACCCTGATACTTGTGATATAGAGAGAAACAAACCCTGATACTTGTGATATAGAGAGAAACAAACCCTGACACTTGTGATATAGAGAGAAACTTGTGATATAGAGAGAAACAAACCCTGACATAGAGAGAAACAAACCCCACACTCTTGAAACAAACCCTGACACTTGTGATATAGAGAGAAACAAACCCTGACACTTGTGATATAGAGAGAAACAAACCCTGACACTTGATATAGAGACTTGTGATTGTGGTGATATAGAGAGAAACAAACCCTGACACTTGTGATATAGAGAAAACAAACCCTGATACTTGTGATATAGAGAGAAACAAACCCTGACACTTGTGATATAGAGAGAAACAAACCCTGACACTTGTGATATAGAGAGAAACAAACCCTGACACTTGTGATATAGAGAGAAACAAACCCTGACACTTGTGATATAGAGAGAAACAAACCCTGACACTTGTGATATAGAGAGAAACAAACCCTGACACTTGTGATATAGAGAGAAACAAACCCTGACACTTGTGATATAGAGAGAAACAAACCCTGACACTTGTGATATAGAGAGAAACAAACCCTGACACTTGTGATATAGAGAGAAAGCAACCCTGATACTCATAATGCTTGAATGAGTGGGTAAGTGAGTTTAGTTTTACGGCGCATTAAGACATATTCCAGCTTTATGGCGGCGGTCTGTAAATAATCGTGTCTGGC